GAGAGATGGGGGGCAGCGTGAGAACCGAGGAAGGCCATGTGAGAGGAGTGACCGTAGCTCTGCAAATTCTGGCTCACTGGGAGCAAATCTAACACCCAGATCACTGCGGGACCCAGAACAGGCAGAGAGCAAGAGAGTGCTCAGTGCTTAGCTTACGTGACACGGGCACATTGGGAACATGTTGAAGGCAAAGTGGAAATCTTCCTTGGGGGAGAGGCTGGTCAGTGACCACCCAGGATCCCAGAAGCACACCACTGTTCTCTCACAGAACCTGGGCCACCTGCCCAGGATGGCCCTCAGCCCACCTACTGCAGCTCAAGTGGGAAAAGACTCCAGACCACCCTGCCTACCCCCAAGGTCCCGTTTCCCTCTTCCTCCTTTCCTGATGTCCCTTCTCCCTTAATTGCTTACCTTCTTGGTCTCCTGGAGACATGTTTGCTCTGCTCAGCCACTTACTAACCGGGAGAAAATGAAAGTTGTGCCACCAAGTTCCCTGATTTGGGGCTGGGTGTTCCTCCCATAGCCCCACCGAAGCCTGATTGGTCTAGCCTCTCTAAGACACTTTTCATGTCTTACCTGGAAGCTCATAAATACCAAACAGAGGCCAGCGGGGCTGTGTAACAAGCCTAGATCCCCATAGCATCCCCCTTTAAAGTCCTTGGGTTCCTCTCATGTTCCTTTTTTCTTCCCAGATACCTGTATGGTGTAGCGGGGTAGCAGGGCAGGAGGTGGGGCACTGGGGCTGCTGCAAACCCGCTTCAATTCAAATGGGACCTGCCTTCGCCTGCAAAGAAAGCTCAGGAAAGGCATCTGGGGGCTCCTGGTGTAAGTAGCAAGCTCAGGAATTCCTTGACTTTTATCCAACACACACCCCCCCCGCCACCCCCGCCTCAGCAACCCCTTCTTGGCCTTTCTCTCTCTCTCTCTCTCTCTGCTCATTACCATCCACACCACCCACCCCCACCAGGAAAGAGAAGGTCATCGCCAACCAGGGCCCAGGGAAAGGGGGTTTTCAGAAAGATAAGCCAGGGTGGAATCAGAGCTGTTCACCCACAACCCAACTCCCCTTAGCTCATCTCCACTCCCATCCAAAGGCCAGTGGCAATTTAAAGTTAATTCAGCACCGCGTAAAGCTTAGCACAAAGTATGGGAGGAACCTTGGCCCTAAGTGGCCTCAGTCGAGATCAGAGCCTCAAGTGAGCTATCAAAGCTGAGAGTGGAATCTCCTCCTTAGCTACTCATTTTCAGGAGGACAGGAGGCTATGGGGGCACTGCCAGGTAGAGAGATGACTTGGAAGCTGTCTGCAGAAGGTCCTGAGGAATTTGACATCGTGTATGCACGTGTGTGTGTGTGTGTGTGTGTGTGTGTGTGTGTCGCTAAGGGATGGGTGGGAGGGGGGCGGCCTGGAATTCCTTGGGTCTCTGTTATTACTATTGCTCATTTTATCAGCAGCACACAGCCTTGAACCCAAACCAAGCTTCGAAACCACCTAAGGCCTTCTCCTCTGCGTCCTTTAGGATGCCCTCACCAGCGGTAGGCACAGAGTAAGTGCTTACTAAGTTTGACCTGAGACTATGCAGGGTCCCCCAGACCAGTGTCTGACTCTCAAAGCAGAGACTTCTCCCAGGGGTGGGGGATGGGGATAAGCTAGAGGAGCAAGGCTGAGCCTCCACCCTTGACCCTCTCTTTCTGGAACCCCCTGGCGGGCCCTTGCGTGAGGAGCTGAGCTCTCCAATAGTGTCTAGGACCTTGAGACTGGAAGTTTATTTTGAGATTTGAAGCTCCAAAGTGGCAGATCCCAGAAAACCTCTTCTCTGGCTCCGTATTTGTTCTCTAGTTAAGTGGTTGAGTGCTCTTGCTGGCTCCTGCAGCCTGGGGATCTGGGGACTGGGTCTGGTAGAGGGGGAGAAGGAGGACAGGACGGAAGGAACAAAGTTCCATCCTGAGTTTCCTACTCTAGAGCAGAGGTTGGCCTATAAGCCGTGAGGAGTCTTGTCTCTTCAGTCCCCTCCCTTCTTGGAGCTGCTGGTATTTCGGGGGTGGGGGCTCATATCAGAAATATACTTTAATAGTTGAACATTTGTGTGTGCCAAGATGTGGTCCCACTCAGCTATGAGGATAGCTGGAGCCAAAGAAGGGGCCTCAGAAGTGACTCTGGGGCCCATGTGGGTGAGTCCACCCAAAGTTAGATGTGATCATCTCCAGCTCCCATCCCCAGGCTCATACGTACAAATAAACACAGGGCCAGAGTCACACCCAGGTCTAAACACACAGGGGAGTCTGGGAGAGTCATCCAAGCTGGAAGACAGGGGTGGAGCTCGGCTGGGAGGAGGTAAGAGTCCAAGGAAAGGGCTTGAGCCAGGAAGGAGCCTAGACTCACAGTCCCTTACCTGCCCCTCGCAGGGAAACCAGCCTTAGAGTCCTTTCCTTACTAAAGACATAGTAGACTAACAAGAATGACAGAAGGGGAGGAAAAGGACACGGCCAGCTGCTGGCTCCACGTACTCTCTGAATTCACCCTTTCCCCTTTCCCACCCAAAGGCAGCCCAGCCCCACTTACACCGACACGGCCCAATGGTGGTGGGCACCATTTTCTGCTACCTTAGATCACCCTCCGTTTTCTTATCTGAACTTTATTCTTCCTCTCTAGGGCATGCCACTCCATTTGACTGACCCCTTTGATGGCCCCTCTACACCAGCCCACTCCTGTCTGGGGTGTCTACTGACTCTCTCCTTGGGAGACTCTACCTCACAATCTGCCCAGCTTAGTTCCTGCCTCCTCACTTCCTCTCGTGACTATCACAGTGATGAGGCCCTTTTACCCTGCCCTATTCCCGGCCTCTGTACTTAACCACTTTGTGACTAGCATTCCATATGTTTCATCTCTAACGTTTATTATCTATCTTGCTCAATAAAATGTAAGCTCCATGAAGGCAGAAATTTTTTTTTAATGTGTGTGTTCGTGTGTGTGTGTGTGTGTGTGTGTGTGTGTGTGTGTGTTTTCTCCGAGCCCAGCACAACCCTAGCAGATAAAAGGAGATATTTGTGGAATTGATGCATATACTTGGCCTCTTACCACACAAACTTCAGGCGAAGGACAGAGTTGTGGGAGAGAGGGCAAACGCCCCCTGAACTTTTCTCTCTTCTCTGTCTCTAAGATGTCTGCAGCCAGCTGTGCCCTGTCCTTCACACTCTAGCATCTAACACCCCGACCAAACAAGGACTGACAGTGAGCTTGGGGTTAAGGTGGGTGGGCAGTCACCAGCATGATGTTTACATCAGGACTTTATAGTTTAGATAAAATCACGCGGAGAGGCACGAAAGACACCTGGGAATGGGAGGCTAGGCAGGAGAAACTGAGGCTGAAAGACCCCAGAGGAAGTCTTCAGTTGAAAGGCTCAGGGTTTTAAAGAATTTTTTTATGCTTCAGTAAGGATCATTGTGCCCCCACGGGGATTCTTCTTCCCACCCAGGGAAGCGCGAGCCCATTGTGCGGTGGGGGCGGGGTAATAGAAAGGGAGCAAGGAGTCATTTTCAGTCCACAACACCTCTCTCCACCTCTTCCCAACTTCCCACCCCCCACCCTCGGGCTCTGCTGGACTGAGGGAGAACCAGCGAGCAGCGGAGAAGAGGAAGGGTGGAAAGGGAGGGGAAGAGAAGGCATCAGGGCTTCCACTCTCTCCGCAGGACCCCCACCCCGGCCTCTGGTGCGGGAAAGCCGCCCAGCTGTTTCTGATTCTTTCCTAGTCGCAGCTCCGCCCGAGGGGGTGGAGGACGGAGATACCGGGAGAGACCGAGCTCGGCCGAGCCCCGGTCGGCCGTCAGGGCAGCAACCGCAGCATCCCGCCGGCAGGTGTGTCTCTTGGGCAGCTTCACGACCCTGAACTGGAGAAAGCACCTAGGTGGATAGGAGCTGGGTCTCAACTATGTACGGGACGAAAGGATAGTGTCGGTGTAGTGGGTAGGAGAAGCGGGGGAGGGAGGGACGCGATGAGCCCTTGATGAGAGAGTCCCCCGCTCGAAGCCGACTGCCCACGGCGCCCGAAGGCAGCGTGGCCAAGGGAGTCCCACTGTCCAGCAACTCTGGCTGACCGGTTATCTATCAGTTTCCCAGAAGCGCAAGGATAGGAGAACCTGAGGAAAGCGCATCTTCTGCGCTTAGCTATGGTTTCACCGTAGTTTAGGGGGCGAGGAGTGTCCGCGACCCTTCCCCCACCACACGCACTGGGTGAACCTTGCCATCAAACCCAGCGGTCCGCGCCGCTGAGTGAAGGGCGCTAGGACCCGGAGGCGTGGCGTGGCGTCGGTAGGGACAGGGGGCTGCATGCAGAGAAGAGCCCCGTCGCGGGTGGCCGGAGCAGGTGAGGGCGCGGCACGGTGGCGCTCGGTAAAGCCGAGGGGGAGGAGGCAGCCGCCACACCTAGGGCGCTGCGGAGCACCCGGGCTGGCGCGGGCGGAGCCGAGCTGAAGCCGCGCGTGTCCCCGCCGCCCACCACCGACCGCGCCCCTCCATGCAGCCCCCTGTCCCTACCGACGC